CTTACTACAGTGTTGTAGTAAGGTTGTTTGCATGTTTTCAACACCGGGGGTCTAGGCTGGGCGAGTAGGGGGTCTTCAAGCACTGACCAAACACTAAATTGAATGTGGCAGGTCAAGACGAGGACATGCACTGAAAGCTGGTTAGTATTTTGTTTTTTTATTTTAGCCAAGTTGGTAACAAAATTCTAGGGGAGTCTAAGGTTATAAGCTGCTGATGGTTGCAAAATTACCTAGATTCGCCCTAACATTTATACCATAAAAAGTACATATATTTTACAATCTTACATAATCTACGCAATTGTCAAAATCGTATTTTTGTTGTCTTATTTATATACAGTATTAATTATATTATAATAATTAATTTTTAAAATATTTTTTAAATCTATAAATAATAATAAATAACATTTAACCCTTTAAGACCTAAGATGTAAAAAAAAACTCTAATTTTCTGGAAATGAGATGTTTATTAAACCATCAAGCAAACAAACATATTTTTGCCATATACATTTTTTTCATGACATTTATTTTGTATCACATTTGTGCAACATTTTGCTCAAGTTAATTTTATTCACTTTTTTATTAACTATTGTTTTCTAGCTCTCTTGAACATTTACGATAAATGAATGTTTACATGTTTTTATATATTTTAACAGGGTTATGAACTACCTGTTTTTTTATAATTCTATTTTAATGTTTAAATATTTTAAAATGTATAATAATAATAATTATTATTATTAATAATAATAATAATTTATATTAATAATAATAATAATAATAATAATTATTATTATTATTATTATTATTATTATTATTATTATTATTATTATTATTAAATGTTATCCAATGTGTACTTTAAACAGAAATTGTTTTAAATACATTAAAACCACAATCAAAAGTAAAACACAGTCTACATGTACAGTTGAAGTCAGAATTTTTAGCCTCCCTGAATTATTAGCCCCCCTGTTTATTTTTTACCCAATTTCTGTTTAATGGAGAGAAGATTTTTTCAACACATTTCTAAACATTATAGTTTTAATATTTCATTTCCAATAACTGATTTATTTTATCTTTGTCATGATGACAGTAAATAATATTTGACTAGATACTTTTCAGGACAATTCTATACAGCTTAAAGTGTTATTGTATAACAATGGTTTGTTCTGTAGACTATCTGGAAAAAAATAGCTTAAGGGGGCTAATAATTTTGACATTAAAATGTTTTTTTAGAAAATTAAAAACTGCTTTTATTCTAGCTGAAATAAAAAAATAAGACTATTTCCATAAGAAAAAAATATTATCAGACATACTGTGAACATTTCCTTGCTCTGATACACATCATTTGTGAAACATTTAAATAATAAAAAATAAATAATTAATAATAATAAAAAAAATTCAAAGGGGGGCTAATAATTCTGACTGCAACCGTATAATATATTCTACACTACGTACTTCATTATACTATTAACAATTATTATAGAATTTACATAATCGCCCAAACTTTAGTTGTCAATTTACAAAAGTTACTTATATTAAGTGTTAATAACATATTTAATAATACTACTTTATTAATGTGTCTGCATTTACATTTATTTAAAGTTACATTTAAATGTAAAATCCTGATGATGCATGTTTGGATGGACTGGTGCTTTTTTATTTTAATTATTATTATTTTTTGTTTTATTAATTTTTTTTTTTTTTAATCTGTATTTTTTGTTGTCATTTGTATAAAAAGTATTATAGATTGCATAAAAGTTTTTTCGTTCTGTTTAGTACTTAAAAAAGTCATAAATAAAATATCAAGTAATAAGTAAAAATAAAGTTAAATCAAGCATCTTATATTGTTTATCATAGAGAATTACTGTTGTCAAACCATTCAAATATTTAATAAATACAGAAAATAAGATTTAATCACTATATGTTTGCACGTTTACATCACTAAAAGCAAAAAGAAACATTAATGTATATGATTATTAAATCATATAATTAACATATATAAACAGAATACCAATTGAAAACAAACTGAAATTGAATGAAGGACGAAAAACGAACAATAAATAAAACCAAGCTGAATTGTTTTAAAAGGAGCAGCTATATTTAGAATAAGAACATCAACAATCTTTATAGCTGAAATGTGGATTACTTAAAATCCCTTCTTGCCAAATTAGTGGCTAAATACCACACTCAAACTCATAATGGCACTCATAAAGTCAACAGTTGCTGGTTCAGTGTGGGAACGTTCCAGTCACTGACCACGCTTGGCACGAGAACCAGTCTGACCGCAAGAACAACATGAAAGAAATCATTTCTCAAACATGCCAAAAAAGCTGCAGCTTGCAAAAACAGCACAACCCAATCCCAGATAATCAGTCGTCTTAGATCTGGAGCTGAGCTGCAAATGCTGGAATTGGCCATGACGCGGCTTTCTGAATAAGCAATTAGATGCGCTCTCAGCATTGCTAAAAACATTCGGCGAACTACTAATTTCCACAAGTTTGCAGGGTCATACAAACATCTGAGCGAAGCATCAATACGGGTAGAATAGATGTTTAGTAAATAAACAGCCTGCTAGACTACAAAGGCTCATCCCTGCTGACAAAACGGAAACTTGCAAGTAAAGATCATCAATTTTACCCTTGAAAACGCACACAGAGTCCCTCTGTTCTTCAGATGGCTGCATTTCATCACCAAAAGTGAGTTTTTAAGTCCAAAGCAATCTCCATCCTTACTTTAAAAGAATAGTTCACACAAAAATTAAAATCACCTCACTATTTACGCATATTCAAGCGGTACTAAACTAGAATTTCTTTCTTCCTAAAACAAGATATTCTATAAAATGCTCAAAAAAAAAAACTGCCACTGACATACAAATGTGTCCTTTAGAAATGTGTGTCTCAGCGAACAGAATGCCAGGACTAGCCACAGTTAGCCACAGCACTTAGGGTGATTCTCTAACTTAGAAAATACATTGAAATACAGCAAGCTCTCAGTAGTGGCCAGTTTTAAAGGGGGAGGACTCAGGGGAAGGTGGAGGTGTTTTCTCAATGTTTTGTTCATATTTGCTAAAATTAAATACAATGCTGCATCTGGGACAATTGTGTTTATTGTTTTCTGATAAGAGAAATAGTTTAATATTAGACACATTGTTGCCAACTCACCACAGCCATGGCTGTTTCATTTTATTGATGGGAAGTTCAGATCATTTTACTGACTCGGACCTCAGTTCGTTGAAATGAACAAATCTTTTTTCGAGTCATTTCATTCGAATTTGCCAAAACAAGATGCTTCAAAACACATCTACAACTAACCCAAACGTTGAACTGCAAACATGTAATAATTAGAATGCTACTATACCAAGAAACAGAAAATAATCCTTTATTGTTTACCTGGTGGTGTTTAGTCTATGATTAACTCTGATCACCATTTGTGGGGCATGTTACCAAATTTTTAGTCGTTCGTTTATCTGACACTTACAGTCCCATATAAGCTTAACCAATGCACAAAGTCTGAGCTGGAAAACACCCATGATTAGTTCACCTTTCGAGTCATTTATTTTTTTTAAATTTTTTTTTTTGAGTCGTTCGTTCATCATGTGACAGCATGTAAAGAGAACCCCCCTAGTTTTTTGCGATTTCGCGATCACTGAATCCAAAGCAAAATCAACAAAAAGTTAAATATTTTTACGACCTAGCAAAATTCTCAATTAAATGCAAATTAATCGCAAAAAGATGTAAATAATCATATAAAACATCAAATTGCAAACCATATAATCAAATGATATTTTATTTCAGTTTGCAGTAAATGTTTTACATGACTTACAGATGTTGCACAGCGCCTGCGCCCTCACAAGCATTACATTACATGGGGGCGGGGATGTTATGCAGCCTGAGCAGAGCGAATGAAGCGCAAGTGATTTACATGTGAAGTCAATACAAAGATGCGATTAGACATCCTGTGGTGCAAATTTGGCGTTTTGTGCATTTGACGTGCTTCAGACTGCAAAATAAAGCGAGCAAACATCTAAAAACCGATGCAATGGAACAGACAGAACAGCAAGCAGCTTACAGGAGTCTGGTTCAAGCATTGCGGCGACTAGACTTGACCGAATTGAAGGACATTATTTGTATGGCTGGTATTATGATGGTCATGAAATCGAGAAGTGATTTCGTTGAACTCTTTCCCTGCAGTTAACTAGAGCAAACCAAAATGCTTCCCTTAGATGAGTTTTACGGCAATCCGTGTTTTAGGTGTATTTTGGTAGCGGAAGCCCTAACTCACCTTCTGAGTGAGGTACATGTCGAATGCTCGGGGAGCGAAATCTGAGAGGAAAAAAGTCTGTGCATAAATATTATACAGCCTTCCTTTGGCTTAATACCTACCGTTTCAGATCTTGTGTTGACAAGAAACCAAAATAAAGAAGCTTTTGTGTCATTGTAATCGCACACCAAACATAGTAGGCTACCTAATATGGTAAATAAGGTTATATATCAATTTTTTTATTTTAATATTTACATATATTGAATATTTGTCCGCAAATTTCTGGGAATTATCGAAACAAAAATCAGTCAATTTTATCACCTAAAAATCACAAGAAAAAACGTGAAAAACTAGGGGGTCTGATATGATTCAGTACACTAAAAGAAAGAATATACTACTTTGCAAATTGCATTATACATAAATAATAAAAACAGCACATTTTTCAATTAAGTTCCTGACAATAAAATAAATAAACATTTTACACACATTTATACAAGTAAACATATAGAATGAATGATGGGCTCAAATTTACCGATTTCTGCTAGCACAGACTTTGTGTGGGCCTACTCTCAACTAAAGATTTAGCTCCATACAGTGCCCTTCCATTGAAAATGACAATAAATGGATCCTTCTTTGCTCAAATTGTCAAAAGTGCAGGACATTTTAACAATAAACACAAAAAAAATCCATAAATGTGTGAGCAGCATTCATGCTAGAGGCACAAAGTAATGGCTGTCATCTCTTACCTTGGTGATGAGGATGCGGTATTGCTCTAGCAGGGCCTGATCGTTGTGGCAGCCAGACAGGAGCTGCCAGACTTCAGCTCGTAAGGCCTCCGGGATCCCAGGCTTCACCAGAGCAGACAGACCCTTGGGTCGCGTCAACAGGTTTCCCTGCCTGACAGGAGGATGACAAGATGGTGTCACTGCAGCACAACAGAGTTTGTTTTCTGCAGTCGTGTTCAATACGGACCGGCCGTACGGCAAACTTTAAATGTGTCAGAAGGCCTTACCATCTGTTGAGGATTCCTCCCCAGGACTCCAGAATCTTCTCGGGACAGTCCTTTGACACATCGCCTGTCCCACTTGAGATCTCACTGTCGCTATCTGTAAAGCGGGAGACAAGGATCAATGTATGCTAACATCTTGTTTTGATAATGATAAAAAGAAAAATGATCATGAGGGGGTGTTCGTTGGCCAATAATTTATACAAAAACTATTTTGGGGGGCCTAATATCATTAACTTCTGACAAGGGGTTTAAAAGTACAAATTTGTTTGTCAGTGTAGCGACATTGGTGTTTTCAAATGCATTCAGTACCAATCAGTAGTGAAATGTTAAATGTCAATTTCAAATTTGATGCGTTCTTAAACACTGCAGATAGGCCATTGTGTTCCTGTGCTCGACAGAAATGACTGTGATTGGCCGTTAAAGTCATTGGTTTACCCCTCTTCACTGCTGTTCGCCAAGTGCGCAAACAGATACAGGGACACTGGTCTGTCTACAAGTTGACATTTGAGCAAAACGCTAATGGATCGACTGATCTTCACAGCTTTGAAACACTTAATTTCCTTGAACAAAATTATTGTACCGAATCTGATTGTTACCGGACTCAACCCTTTTGACAACCCTAACCTACATATGTAGCACAACTTTGATGGTGGCATTCTGATCCCATCTTCCTTTCTCATTTTAACTTCACTTCTTTTAAATATGTACTGTCCTATGCAAACATGCCGAAAACAAGTTTTTAAAGTTGTATGTTTTTAGAAAGTACAAAAACATGATTCTAAAAACAGTGTCATCGTGCCTGACACCCAAAACAACAATAGTGGACTAAAGACCACACGTCTGCTCGTCTAGGGTTTCTTTTTTTTTTTTTTTGTTTCCACCAACTGGCCTAATCTAGCATGTTTAGTTGATTTAGCAGAATGTTATGAACGGCGATCGTTTAGACAACTTTGTCTTTGTTTTTCATCTATATGCTAGAGATGTGAGAAACAAAGCTTTTCAAAACTTCAAAACAACAAAACCAAAAGCATTCATTTTTGTCCAAGCACAACTCTATTGAGCAAACTTAACAAATTTAAGTGAATTTAACAAAACAATTAAGTTGTTCCCAAAAAGTCTAAAATTGTGTTGTTTTAGCTCATTTTACTTATGTAGTTTGAACAAGTAGCAAAAAAAAAATTACTTGTTGCTTGATCAATTTAAAGGGCTTATATCGTTTATCTATTGTGGCCTCTGCTAAACAGGACAACAAGAATCTATTAACTAAAATTCCTTTTTATTTTACCAAATATCTACAAGCTCATAAAACTGATTCGAGATCAAGTAAAAGCTATGAAAGCTTTTCAGTGATTCACCACTGTTGTGTGATCACAGTGAACCTGCATGTGGACTTTATGCTATTACACAGATCCAGTGATTTCTCAAAACATTTTCTTTTCGCAACTCTTTTTACATTTTCGGGTTTCTTAGTAGTGGAAGCCAAGTGCAGTAAATGGGAATGGGAAAAAAGGTACAATTATATTTGCTGAAATAATAAAAGAAAAACTCCACGATGGTGTTATCAAAACCTTCAAAACAAGGGGAAATAAAACTGTGTGAAACTGATAATGGCAGGCGTAAGAGAGAACAACGTCAAATTTACTGTCTTGCCCAAAGACGCTGCATTACAAACACAAAGATGATATAATACATATATAAATGCATATAAAATGTTCATATGTTATATTAAAAATATTTATTAAAACTAAATTAATTAAAGTTATTCAATTGAATACAAAAACTTGTTGACCGTTAAACGCGTCATAACAGTCTTGTGAAAAGGGTCCATAAAACCTAGTTTACTGAAATTATAAGACATTGGTTAGTTGATACCAGGGCTTTACATTAACACCCGCCAACCTGCCAAATGCGAGTAGATTTTAGCTCTGACGGGCTAGACAGCCACCTCCACTAGCCACTTTGGCTGGTTGAAAATTATTTTTAAATTGTAGTTTTCTTACAAGGACGGTTCGACAATAAGGATTTGGGCTGCTCGATTATGGGAAAAATCATAATCACGATTATTTTGGTCATAATTGTAATCACGATTATTCAAAACAATTAACAGTTGAAGTCAAAATTTTTCGACCTCCTATGAAGTTATTTTTATATATAATTATTTCCCAAATTATGTTTAACAGAGGTTTTTTTTTTTTTTACAGTATTTCCTATAATATTTTTTTCTTCTGGAGAAAGGCTTATTTGTTTCATTTCAGCTAGAATAAAAGCAGGTTTGAATATTTTGAAACCTATTTTAATAGCTCAATATCATTAGCCCCTTTAAGCAATATATATGTTTAATTGTGTGCAGAATAAACTACTGTTATACAATGACTTGTCTATTTACCCTAATTAAGCCTTTGAATGTCACTTTAAGCTGAATACTAGTATCTTGAAAAACATCTAGTAAAATATAATGTGCTGTCATCATAGCAAAGATAAAAGAAATCAGTTAATAGAAATGAGTTAATAAATATGTTATGTTTAAACTCTGCTTTAAGCATCTTCACTGTATTTTTGATTTTATTATTAATTAATGATAAGACAGTCGGCAGGAATATCGCACGCTGTCACTTTAAGAATAGTGCGGCTCTGATATGGTTTCTCTTTCGCATGTCTTTTAATTCTCAACTTGTTAGTTTATTACACAAATAATTAATATGAATAATCAATAAACACCGCGCTCTGACACAAATGTGCATGTATTTGACCATTAAAGCGCTCACATTAAGATTGCGTTAGATTTATGTGTGCGCTCTGCTGTCCGAGGCTAAGCGCGGAACGCGCGCAAACACACACACACATTCTACCTGTCCGAGGCTAAGCACTGCGCGCACACACACAACAGCACGTGCTCTTTGGCGCTTTTAAAAATATGAATGATGCGCATCCCGTGCTGCAAAAGTTACATTACAGCACATGCTTTTAGTCATTTTCACGTGGAACTGAGCTTTGCAGAGGCAAAGAGTTTTCACACGTGTACAACTGGAAAGGGAGCGGTACGTGATGGAATAATCGTTTATCTCGATTATGGTCATAATCGTTAAAAGCCAAAATCGAAATCGGATTTTCGATTAATTGCACAGCCCAATAAGGACGGCTCAATATTCGTGCAAATGCGTTCTTAGAATTGAGAAGCAGCATGACTGACAAATATAATTTTGTTCGAGCAGGCAAAAGAAAGCCGGTTGAATACCGAATGAGAGGATAATCACCCGCGCCAACAGCTGATGTGATGCGCACGACTGTTTAAAACGCGTGCACACTCCCGTTTTCTTGCTTGAAACAACCGTGCCTGGAAACACAACTGGTGTGATCAATTCTCTTTCAAATAAAATAGACTAAAAGTTGTTCATGCACAGTCAGTCCTGCTGCTTTCAAGAGCTCCATATTGGTCTTTTTGTGAGCAGCACCGGTTGCTTTCGCTTTAACCATTATTTGAACAGGATATAGAATATTAACTTCCCATTTATATGTAGTTAACTAGTGTCAACAGTTTCTTTTTAAGAAATGTTTTGTTAAATCAAAAGTATAGTATACAGCTATGTTTTGTTTGTTTTGACACATTATTTAAAATTGGTGAATAATAAATAATTATTTATTTATTTTTAGTGTGGTTAGAGATAAATTTTGTAAATCCTTTGAGCTGTGAAAAGTCATGTGAAATAAAAACTAATTGCAATACAACACTATGAAACCAGGATCCATGTGCTCATGCTCACTGAGCAAGCTCATACACGACATAGACAAAAAGTTAAATGAATGAGGAGGCATGTGAACATTCCAAAAAAAATCTAAATCAAGTAATTTTAGCATGTCAAAGTCGTATTCATGGATATAAAATACATTTTCCCAGCAACAAAATTGTGGCTAGTGAAAATGGCGAGTGGCTAGTAATGTTGGAAAACTACTAGCCACACTGGCTGGTGATCAAAAAAGTCAAGAAAGTCAAGCCCTGTTTGATACGTACTAAGAACTACTGATTAAAAACCAAAAAGTTTAATTCGTTATAAAGTTGTGCTTTGAGAGCACGAAAACTACTACATGCATCACTTTTCAAAGCTTTTCTATTTTTAAGAACACTGCCATGTAACATACTGAGAAAGAGACAAAAATACAATAAAAAAATACCTGCACAAAGTATCAGCAATGCATTGTTACACAGTCAAAATAACCATCATAAGAAATGATAAAGACACATCTCAAAGCTTCTGTCACTTTTGACCACATAGGAGCCAAGTGTGATCCCTAAATAGAGGTCCAGAGAGTGAAAACAAACAAAATAGCAGCGGTTCCATCAATCATGCTCACATTGTGTGCTTATTTTTCTTCATCTCTGTCTTGTGTACAGTTAAATATGTTAGCCTTGTAATGTATACTCTTCGATTGCGAAGTTGAAAAATCACTCACACCCACACAAGAGGATAGAAAAACTGTGTTGCTCACAAAAATCTTTGTCGTCTTTGAGATCATGGATGGTTCTTCGCTATTAAAAGCTGCAATGGAGTTCAGACCCGATGCCAATTTCAGAAAGGTGTACACAAAAACTAGGCAGCAAGCAAGGGGTTAAAATAACATTATGCAATCAATGTGCAAGAAGGAGCAGACCGAGAATGGTGTAGTTCTGTTTACAAGTCACACTCAGATCTCAAGTCTTAACCCCCTGGTGACAGTATTCGCCCTGAGTCTCTAGATACATCTCGACACCGCTGACCACCAGTGTGTGTATACTGCAGGCAAACATCACTCCCTGCAGGGTGGCATGTTAGGATGCTGCACGACTCCCATGAAACAGTGTTCAGACAAAATTACAGAAGCATCCTTGCAGCATCCAGAAGACTGGAGTGAGTTATATAGCACACGCACCTGCATTAGTCAAGGCCGCGGACTGCCAAGATTACTGTCACGCCTTGAGGTGATAAAGGAAATGTCTTGGACTTAATGTCTGCAAAGGTCATTAAGAGCCGACCGGCAGACACTCTGCTCTCCAAGTCCATATCTCAAAATCGGCACCCACAACATGGCTATTTGGAGGCAAATTAACAGCAATGCGTTTTG